ATATATAATTATAATAAAATTTTTCATAATTTGTTAATCAACATCTTCAGAAATAAAATTAATTATTTGTTACAAACAAAATAAAGTAGATCGCCGTTAAGTAATATTGATTACTGATTATTGAATGATAGCACGCATGGAACAGAGAGCGACATGTACCTGTATCAGCAAAAAAGTATCGTAAAAAAATGAAAAAGAAACTGCGACTTACTCCGACGCAGGAATCGTCGAGAGTTCGGCGCTTTTCGTTGCGAATAGCCGACCCGAGGCCCAGGGATGTCCAAGGCGTAGTCCATCGCGTGGAATCCTTGGCGGGTGTGTCCCCGAGTACGGTTGACGACGGTCTCTCCGTGACACGGCCGACCGTCGTAGGCGTGGCGTCCTTGAAGCAAGGATTGTCGAAGGCGTACGCATCCTCGACGATCTCGGGATCCGTCACCAGCACCAGGTGTTTACCTGCGGTAATCGGTTCCGTTATCAATTAGGGGTCCAGGGACAGATCAGTGGTTACGACCAGGGAATATTCATCCGGGAATTGCGTTAATGACTTTGAATATATTTTTCGATATATATTAGAGCAATATTAAAATATTAAAAAATTAAGGATATAAACACACGTGTATGTGTATGTTTGTTGCGTGAGCTTTCGCTCCCGCATCCCATCGCGAATCGTCATAGTGTCATAGTTGCGCACCGTATTCTCGCTTTGTTGCGAGACATGAATGGAATTGTAATCGCGATATGACTCATTTTAGCGGAGGGGCCCAAGGGGGGAGGGGGGAGGGGAATTACTTATATAAAACGTACGGACGATCGCGCATCTCCGATCACGCGCGAGTGCGCGTCCATTTACGGTGTACCTGCATCACGTATCGGCAGGAAGGAAACGCATTCTTCGAAACCGCCCATGTCCCGCTACACGTATCCGATATCTATCCGCACGACCTGACCGTATTCAGGCATACGTTATACGTATGTATGTATGTACACCGGTTTCGGACGGCCGCGCACGACGATCCACGTGTGAAGTTTATATACCCGAGCTATCGGACACATCATACGCAAGAGAATATCAGGGTGTTTACTCAAATCTTGTGAAAAAATTCCTTGAAAATTCTCTGATCTTCCAGGTTATTTCCATTGAGAAAATTCTAGATAAAAAATATTTTAAAGATTTTTTGGTGCAATTTTCTAAAATAGACTTTTTGTTGCACGCGTTTTCTAATGCTTTTCATTCAAATGAAGAAAAAACACAGAGTTTCAAGAGCAAGATTTACAAATATACTCTAATGTTTTTCACTCAGACGAAGGAGAAACACAAAGCCACTTAAGTTTCAAATAAGATTTACAAATATACCAAAAAAAAAAAAAAAAACTGAATAGCTTTCGTTAAAATAAAAATTAACTTGCATAATATTTTCATTTTTTATCTAAAAATTGAAATAAAGAATATGTACTGCAATATTCAATATTTTGTGAAAACATTGAATACATGTATATGTATTATACAGAAATAGAAATAGATATATATTTATAATATATATTTTAAACATATAATTGTCATAACTTGGCTTATTGTCTATTGCTTATAATATAAGAGCAAAATTATCAAGGAGAGAATTTTTTTAAAAACTCCGAGTGGCAATAAAATTTTTCGAGAATTCCTTCATTTCTCCAGGTATACAAAAAATTACCTGAGGATTCTAGGTTTTCCAGGGAATAGACACACCCTGAAATATGTACCATCCAATCCTCAAAAGAAATTTCCTTTTTTCAAATTTTTCCGATTGGATATACGAGTTAGAAGGTACGATAAAGATCGTACAATGCAGGATAAAGTTTGAATCGTGTGAAAAAATTCAAGAATTCAAGAATATCAAGACGAAGACTTTCATCGCGCTATCGTAACCGAGGCAAGCCTTTTTTCTCGCAATGTTGTGCAAGGATGTCCCGGATTATTTTCCCAGCCGCAATCGCGCATTCATGCACCTACGCATTTATTTATTTATCGGTATCCGTGTATGTTCGCGCATACGCAGAAAACGCATAGACGAATAGAGAGCCGGCAATTTCTCTCTCTCTCTCTCTCTCTCTTTTTTTTTCTCCCTCTCGCTTCCTCCGATCGTCGTTTGCGTAACGCACAATGAGGTAACTAATCGTGCACGGTATGCACAAATCGGCGACGCGTCGAAGGCTGTCTCGGAAGAGAAAAAACCTCTCGTTAAAAAAAAAAAAAAAAAAAAAAAAAAAAAAAAAAAAAAAAAGCCCGGCGTGAGTAAATGAAATATTTAAGGCCGCGGACGCGCGTCGTCGACCGCTCGCTGCGCATTTTCTTGATGCATATGCACGCCTTCCAGGCATCGATATGCCTACCGTAAAACGATCGCGCATACTTTCGCATTCGCGCGATACCGCGAAACGACGCGACGCGACTTGGCTTGTGCTAAATAGGAATTTTTCACACTAAATGGGATCGTAAAAAAGCTATTTTGTAAACGCAAGCGAGACCAAGGAGAGAAAATGGAGATATTTTAATGTAATTATTTAAAGCACGTTTCCCGGTCCCGCCTCGATTTTACTTCGATTTATCGCTTCTCCGTTTGCATTCCTGAGAGGAGGATCAACAATATGATACAGGAATAATAATTTAGAGCATGATAAAATAAATGTAATAATTAAGAAATCGTTTTGTTTGACGTACGATGAGATGTAATATGTGTGATAAGATAAAAATAAGAGTAAATATGAAAAGAATATTAATCTTTTTCTCATATACTGCAACTTATACGGGATTACAAAGATATATTTTAATTAAACTGATAATTTATATATTAAGAATTTTTTATTGTATTTATCAAAAATAAGCACGATTTATCTATTTAATTAAATATTGCGATGAGAAAAGATAAGGATATTATAATCTTTCAATTTTTTACTTTACCGCGCTTTTCTCGCACTGTTTCTCTTGTTTATAAAATTAATGTTATATAGAAATATAATAAGTTGTAATTGATACTTGTTTTAATAACATCACAAAAATTTATTTTTCTCTCTCTTTTAGGTTTCTTTTTACGATTACCGTGGCACTTTCGATACGGCAATCTTGTATACGTAACGTTTGGCATGTTACGTAGTCCATTGAGTCGCCCGAGATATGCGATTCAGCAATGTGTCAGCATACCAAACAAGCATTCCGTTTTCCATATTCATGGCTCGAACAAATGAATTTTCCCCTATAATAATAATAACGCAAAGAACTAGTAGATTTTTACAACAAAATTATGCGAGTCTAAAAGACAGAAGAGAGAAAGAGAGAGAGAGAGAGAGAGAGATGAATAGAAAATAGGTGGCAATTCAATCTTTACAAAATTGATCCCTATATAAAAAAATTTTTATAACAGAAATCCCCTCTTGAATGCAAACCAACGATGTCTCTTACGTAAAATCGACATTTCATCGTGAAAAGACGTACGACCGGGACAAAATAACATCAATAGCTCTAACAGGATTACGCATGCTGCATTGTTTCACAGCGTGTAGAAAATATTCATGGCGATACAACACGGCGAGGACAAAACCAACCGCTATAAAGACCAGTTGCAGCGACTATTTTCTCTCCGTCTTTTTCTCGCATTCTCTCTCTCTCTCTTTCTCTTTTTCTGCCTCTCACGGAGAGGGTCCGGGGTCCGAGAGACTTGTTATCAAAATATATATTATCGCCTACCATGCTGAGAGAGACGCTACGCCTTTGCGAGGGACGCCAATGGGCGCATACCATGGGCGCCAAGGTGAGCTAGCTCGCTCTCTCTTATCCTGCGCCCTGTTCTCTTCCTTTGCTTTCGTCGTCGTCGTCGTCGTCGTCGTCTTCTTCTTCTTTGCCTCGAGTCGCGATCCACGCATCACCCCACCATCGTCAACCCGACCGCGTTACTCTTATCGAGACCCGGCTCTGATCTGCTTCTCGTTTCGTCTCGGAAGTCTCTCCCGGCGGGACGCCGGGCATGATCGGATGACTCTTCTTCTCGAGGTGATGGTATTCACGACCGTTACGATAAGTTCTTAATGGATCCCCGATGTCTGTGTGTGCGACGAAAAAACGCCCCGTAAATACCTTTCCCGTTGATCGCGACGAGTTTCCTATATAGATCGACTCCCGGAAAAATACGAGAGACATTGTTCGTAATCTTCAGAAGGTTTATGAATAAACGATCTTATTTTCAAGTTGACAATAAGTTCTTATCTCAAGCGGCTTAAGCTAATAGCTTCTTGAATAATCATGCGTCAGTTTATTTCTTTCTAATATCGTCGAACGAAAACTACAAGATGCGTCAAAATATTTAATCGATTTTTTTTTTTTTTTTTGGCAATACGATTAACACTTAATGATGAATTAAGAGCGAATTATATTTCTCAGAGAACACCATTCCCGCGCGGATGAATTTATTGCAAGCTTTCTTAAGTACTTTGAAGGGGATTGCGATAAATGCGTATCGCGCGCATGAGATACTTGAGAGTATAAGAGTCGGAGATATCATTGTTAGCGGTGGATCTTTCTCAACGATTAAAACGCGCTTTACTTACTTACGTGTTAATATTTAACGCGCTAGCTTCGTGACGCGTCGTCGTTTAACGCAACAGTAACGCGACGAGGTCAATCGTCGTGAAGATAATGGTGTTTTGCGAAAGGCAACTCTCACGGCATGTTCGCAGGTGGAAAGGCTCGTAGAATCTCGGTCGAACGCGATTATTTTCATTCTGTTCCCGAATTGATTTGCAGTCCTTTTTTTTATTTTCTTTTTATATTTTTTTTTATGTAAAAGGAATAAAAAACGTCACAAACTCCTGTATTGCAAACAGATTCTAATCGATAATTAACATTAATAGTTCCGATTTTGATCTTACATTGTAACTTACGTACGCGATTCCACAACATGAATGTATTTTTAGTCTATATTTCGAAGATACGTAACATATAATATGTATAATAAGTTCGTTAGATTTTTGGATAAATAGAACGTCTCAAATCTCTCAAGTGTGACAGAAAAATGACAAATATGACGAACTAATTTGTATCAAAAATTACTTGTGTTAAATAGTATTAAACATCGATATATGTGCGACATATAATCAATCGCGTCGCGATTTATCGAATTTCACAAGTTGTATAGACAATCGCGAATTTTACGAGTTGCGTAGACAAGATTCTTTTCGAATCGATATCTATATGGATATATTGACATTGAGTCACTTAAAGTGCCCCAGATTCCGTATAATCATTTTTCCTCTATCGACAAATACTGTGTTTTCAAGTAAGCTGCTGATGAACCACTTTTCTGCCAATGAATAATCTATCCATGCACACACGCAATATTATAATTTACATCTCTAATTAATCATCTAGAGAAATATTCGTGGAATCGTACTGGACATAATTTTGCCCCGGCGTGATTCATGCG